GTAGGAAAACCTCCTAAACTTTTACATTAATTATAGCAGAACATTTCAAATTTTTCTCAGCAAGTAGAAGAAAATAATAAATTTATCCTCAGTACAATCGAGACAATTAATAGCCAAGGAGAGTTCAACACGATCTTCTAAGCTGAAAAATCACCAATATTTTAGACCTGTAAAATGTCAATAATAAACATCTACCCACTAGTTTTGCTTTATTTTCAGTAATTATTATTTAGAGGTTCACAACAGCCAAGGCATATTAGCTCCCCGGGCTTCGGTGTTTTGAAATAAAAAGTAGATTATTTGTTGGTGTTCTAATGCAGGACAGATGAGATTCGAACTAGGAACCCTTACATTGATGTCTGTGTGTAAGTTCTTAGCCCCCTGCTCGCTAGTTTCTCATTCAGAATATAAAATATTGATATACATCATGTTGATATCTGATTCGAAACCATTAGCAGAATAATTTGTAGCAGAACATTTCAAATCTGGCACGGAAGAAAAAGAAACCATTTCTGTGTTCATAGGATGAGGTCGATCGCCTTACGCAAATGAGCAAAAGCAAAAACCATAATATTTGTAGAAGTTAACACAGTTTGCTTATTAATAAAATATTGAGATCGAAAAGTAACTATAAACAATAATATAACGATAAAATGCAATTGTGCAAAGGGCGATCCCTCGAAACCTACATCTAGGAAGATGTTATTTAATATCTGCTTCTATTTTTTCAGGCAGGTTAATTTGAGTAAATACAACGTAAAGCTAGATACACAGGGTCTCACCTTACGCGTGTGCCAACAAATTCCGAAAAATTACTCAACCTCCAAAAAAGTATTAAAATATAATTTTTTAGAGCAAGCGCTTCTTNTAAGATAGAAGGTTTGGATGTTAGGGCGTGAAATGACCTTAGCCGTTAAAACGCCCTTAAAAATTAATAATAATAATAATAATAATAATAATAATAATAATAATATAATAATAATAATAATTCGTACAGTTTTCGTCTATATATTCACAAACATTTAACCATGGACTATTGTCCATCCGGCGAGTTGACTATAAGCGAAAAAAATTTTGCATTAAAATAAACGTAATGATAACTTTTATAAAGTACAAAAAAACATAACTTAGTAATTAAATTCTGAAACTAAAACTTTTTATATTTATTAACTGCCCTTAAATATCTGGACCAACAATGCAAGTCGAGACTATTCAAACACGCTTCGGTTTCTCTTTGTGACAGGTAAGCTTTTTGAAAGTAAAAATCTGCCGAAATTCGGCGAAAACTGGGCAAACGGTCAGGAAATGGAATAAACGTTAAAAAGAATAACTTTTTATTTACAGATGGTACCATCGTTTTCATAAATTTTCATATAAATTTTATGCAAAATGGTAAATAATATTTAAAATGTTCAGAAAAACGTTTCCTATTACAAAAATAACATATTCAATCAGATACTGAAAAAATTGCCTCTATTTTTGTGGCATTCTGACAAAGTGTACGACCAAATAAAAAAATCTCGACACAGATTAATTTTTGGCTTAAAAAATTAATGAATTTTTCTATAGTTTCTGATTTAACGCGTTATTTTTGCATTACCTAACTTTCTGGTCTTTTTTTTTTCAAACGTTTTTGCCATTTCAACATCCTTCGATGAATAGAAATGATGAATGGTGGAGTGAGTGTGTTGGTCAATATTTTTGAAAGGATAGTTCCTCCACACAGTAAGTTGTTTTCAACGATCCAGATTTCGAGCTTATAGCTCATCATCAGCTTGAAGGAGTTCTACAACCTCATGATGAGCTATACGCTCGAATCCTGATCATAAAAACAACTTACTGTCTTTTTTAAATAGATTAGGTTTCGTGGTCCGATTGACAAATTAAATTATTTTTAATTAATTAATCTTTAAGGAAGGTATTTGTTGAGATAAAACATCGTCGTCGGTTCGAATCCCGCTTGTGGCACTGACTTTTTTATCTCAACCAATACCTTTCTTAAAGATTAATTTACTGTCATTTGTTGAATTCGCAGAAAAAATGTTTTTTTTTTAATTTGAAATTTTTAAAAAGTTTAAAAAACCTTAATTATGACAATGTTTAAAAGTATGTAAAGTTTATATTATGCTAAAAATACTGTTAATTCTTCTTTCTTTTTTACGACGTAGTTTTTGAGAAAACCAGTCGGCACACTGGTAAATCCATGACATAGTATTTACTAAAATGAAAACATGATGAACCTTTTAAACCTAATCGCATTTGATTTGCGAAATAAAAGAAGCCACAATAAATCCTGAAAAAGATCAAAAAAATGAAACCGTTGCAACAATGTCTGACAAAATAATAATAAAATATAGGCCGACGTTACCATAATAGGACAAGGTGAGGAGGCTAGCCAAGTAGTGAATACCTTCAAAGACACAAATTATGACCTAAATTATGACCTTTAGGCCCCACAGAGTCAGTTTCCCAAACATGCAATAGAAATGTTTTCTATGAAATGCTCGAATAGGGATTAAAAGATGGACAGATTGTGACATTGCCTGAAAGACATTAGACTCCTAGGCGTTGAACTCAAAGCTGGGCATGTCCAACCTATCTCCAACTTCTTGTAAAATGCAACCATGTAAAAATTATTCAGACACAAGAAAATACTGGGATAAAATGCAAAGAAGCAGAAAAAGCCTAACAAGGAGCAGCCCTGATATTCCTTGGACCAGAACAGTTTGCGGTGAGCTTCTCTCACCCCTAAGCATAGTAAAACGATGCTTAACAGATGTTGAAAGAAATGACTGAATTAATTCTCCAAGTGCCAAACAATAAAATTATTTTATAAAGTTTAAACAATTAAGTCATTGAAACCAGGAAAACAAAAATCTACACTTAGTAGACACGAATTAACAGCAATAATAAGCCTTTATATTGGCCATTGCTCATTTAATTACCTACCACGTAAAAATGGAAAAACTAAAATGGAAATTTGCAGACTTTGCAGACAACAGATGCATCAGAACATATTTTATGTGACTGCTAAGCGATAGCCCGGAAACGGTACTGCCGTTTTGGGAAGGCAACACAAAAGCTTAAGGGAATAAGCCAACAGTAATCCTGGAAAGTGCTTTATTAGGTACGTTAAGAACAGCGCTCTTTCTGAAGTATAGATATAAATAAGTCAAGCCCAATAGATCTTTTAGTTCGTAATAAAAGAAAGTTAGGTAAACACCAAGAACAACCCCAGCTTGATAAAAATGTTTTTCATTTATCCCTGATGTAAACAATTAAACCATTTTATTTATGTAAATCAGGTGTGGTGTATAACATATTAACATAATATACAACCATAAAACATAACAAGTCTTTTTTTTACTTTTAAGCTGTTATTGGCTAATTTCGACCAGTCAAGAACAGTTTGAAAGTTTTAATGAGAGGAAAAGCAACATTAAAAATATCTCATTCAAGAGTACTCAGATGTATCAATAAAAGTACTACTTTTTTAGTCCGAACTTTTAACTGCCTGATGTGCCAGTATAACGCATTTAACGAGTTGACTTTCGATTTTAATTTAATAATATAACAATATAAAAGCTGTGATGTTAGTTTTTTCATAAGGAAAACCGGTTCAATTGTGGATTGTATATTTTAAGGTAGAATATCATTTACGGTATATTTCAAAATAAAAAAACTATATTAAGTCAGTAGTTGGTGTAACAGCGTGATGAAATCAAGGGCAAAATCGGCAAGTATAGAGATAAAAGACGAGAATATTTTTCACGGTTAAAAAGATTCTAGGTTTTATTTAGTTGTTTCAACTGTGACAATCTTGGAGATAGATTGTCAATCTTTAACCCGTAAATTGTCTCGGAAAAGTAGTTACGAGTCAAATTTACAGATTGATTACAAGTTTTTTTAATCAGATTATCATGAAAATTTTCCTAGTCATCTTTATATTTACGTACACTCTGGATCTTGTCTTGGTGGTCGTGATGAAGAAAGCAAATTTAGTTACTACTTACCAAGCTTTCGACCTATTTCATCATCAGGGTAAAACAAACTTAAATATTTTTACAGATTGACATATTTAAGTTTTTACAGACGATCTCAAATTTCCCCACATTGCCAAGAATTGTAACGAGTTTTTTAAATCATATTATACATGTGCATGGACTTATACTTTTTTATACTTATGAACTCATACTTTTCGTTATACTTATGGACTTTTTTAATACTTATGGACTTATACTTTTTTTACGAGGTGTCCCAACAGCAGAGCTTATGTCAACCCTCGGGGTGCCGGTGTTTTTGAAAAAAGCCCATTTGTAAGTATGTCGGGTTCGAATGCAGGGCCGCTGGAATGGAAACCGGGACCTTTATTTTACAGTAATGAGCGCCGTGCCAACGCCTAAACCGTTGCGACCACCCACTCCCCTGACTTTTAGTTCATAAATAGTTTAAATAATTAATATCTTTATATAGATAATTAGCCAATTGTAAATCCCGGAGTGGGTTCCTTCGAAAATGGCGTTTTTCATCTCCAATAACATAAAAAATGTTACAGACCTAACTCTTCAATGTATAGACATTAATTATTTAAACTATTTCGGTCGTTACTTCTAATACTGAAAACATCTTTAAATTGACATGACAAANTATATATTTTAAATTTGATTGTTCTTAATTTGGGATTGATCATCAGTAAAACATTTAAAGAATGAAATAAATTTAAGTAAAAGAAGTTAAAAATGAACTTTAAAAATCTTTTAGTTTAAAAACTGTAACGAGTTCATTTTTGTATTTTTTGCAGTTAGTACTTAATAATATAGTTTTTCTTGGCAAATTACCCTCCTTAAGACTTTAATAATTAATTTTAACGTTTTTCTTCATATGGACGAAATGATGAAATGTTGTCTTAGTTTCTCGGGTTTGTTACGTAAAAATGGGGAAAAATCGGAATTTCATTTTTTGTGCTGATGTGAGTGTGAAAATATAAAAAACACCTTTACCGGAGACTGTTGAAGCCTGTCTCTCTCTGGTCGACTCTCTCCATTTCCGCCGTCCGCGCGATTTCCGGTTTTCGCAGTCTCGCTTCTTTCCTGCATCCTGCGCCTCCTGTAAAGAAAACGAGGGATATTTGTAGTTTGGCTTTATTATGCTAGTCAACAGGTTTCAAATGGTTCTTGGAATTAGAAATGAAGCGACGAATTATTTTACAGTTTAGTTTTGAACTTATTATTTAAAAAAAATTAACAGATTCGTTAACAAATGATGCTATATTTCCAGTGGCACAATATCGTGAATAAATTGTGTCGAATTGTATATTTTACTCATAGTCAAAATATAAATATTTATGTCATTATTACAAAAATATTTATATGTAGATAGTTAAATAAAAATTAGAGTACGTATAGACAAAAAGATAGATACATGAAGAGATAGATAGATAGATAGATAGACAGATAGATAGACAGATAGATAGATAGATAGAAAGCTAGAGAGAGAGAGAGAGGGAGAGAGAGAGAGAGAGAGAGAGAGAGAGAGAGAGAGAGAGAGAGAGAGAGAGAGAGAGAGGGAGGGAGAGAAAGAAAAAGAGGGTGAAAGAGAGAGAGAAAGGGAGAAAAAGAGAAAGATGAGAGAGAGAAAGGGAGAAAAAGAGAAATATGAGATAGAGAGAAAGGGAGATAAAGAGGGTGAGAAAGGGAGAGAAAGAGGGTGAGAGTGTGAGAGAGAGAGAGAGCAGACAGACAGATGGGCAGATGTTGCAGATAAAAGGAATTAGCATTTATTATAAAGAATTAATTAAACCAGTTAAGAGATGGGAGCGGGCAGCACCCGACAATCGATCCATGTGAAATAATAATAAATATTTGTGTGTTTGTTTTTGTGTTTTTAAAATAGTGTTTTTTGGTCGTCTCCTTTCACAAAATATAATAAATAAAATGATTTTAAAAAATTAGGAAAACAACTATTGAAGAAAAATAACGGTAATAATATCATCAATTTAATATAATCTAAAAACATAAAACCAAACCCGTATATTAAAAAAATTGTATTCAAAATTAATTCATATGCACTTGTTTGATATTTTCATATTATCCTACCAACATGATAAAGTCGGTGAGGCAATATTGTGAGGTTTCCGAGTTATTGACATACTCGCCGTCGTGGTCAACCACGGCAACATTGTCAGTGTACTCCGTATCCCTAACCCATTCCACAAAAACATTCCTTTAAGAAAAGTGTGAATCATGTTTCTGCAATTTGGAAAAATCGACGGACTATAATTTAAAGTGTATGGAAAACCACAGCATGTGTAATATTGTTAGCATATAACATGTCAGCATATACTTGCAGTATGTCAAATAGAATTACACTTTAATTCAAAAATAAGAGAAAGATCAAGGTAGAGGAATCAAAACAGAGAGCAACGTGATTTCATAAAAACGATTCATTTACTTAAAGAAAAATTATAAAAAATTGCGAACAATATGAAAACGAATTGAAACAATCAAGATCAGCACAATCAACAGAATAAATTTTTCGGAATACAAATAAAGTCCAACCATTCCAACAAATGTGTACACCAAAGTCGAGTTGGTTCAGCAAGTAAATTTTCAGAAAAATCGTATAGTCAGCATTATTTGAATTATTTTACGGCATATCAGTTGATCAAGGTGTCTACCCAGGCTTTGCTTTCAACTTGTCATTCTTTTATCAAATAAATTTACTGATGACTGTATATTACAGTTTGTTAATAACGTCCTTTTAAATACTCAATTACGTTAAAGACACAAAACTATTGTCATTAATGTGGGCTCCCATAGTTTTATATCTTCTAAGTTAATATCTAAAATTGATTCCTATTAAAAATTCTTAAAAATTATATGTTCATAGTAATATAGGAAATTGATGAAAACATTATCTCTTATATATGGAGAATAAGAATGAAAAATATGAACACAATGTCCTATTTTTCTCTTAACATGATACTTAAATATACAAATAATGTACATGAATAATCTGGATCTCGGTATGGTCAAGTACATTAAAACCAAATAGATAAAAAATCCCGCTCGTAACTTTTTTTATCTCAACCAATACCTTACAAAAGATTAATTAATTGAAAGGTGTTATTTGGTCAATCGGACCACGAAATATAATGAATTTATTAACTTAAATGAAGTATATTTTCTCTAAAGCTCTCCGTGAAATTTGAAAAATGGCCAAAAGGAGGGAACCAAATAATATCTTTCAATTAATTAATCTTTTGTAAGGTATTGGTTGAGATAAAAAAGTCAGTGTCAAAAAATTTCAAAAATTTTGAAAAATGGCCAAAAGGAGGGAAAATTCGAAAGGTTGGGTTCAGATGGGAAGTTAGTGTCCGAGTGGATCGAGGTCACGATAGCTCAAGTGGTAGAACAGTGACGTATTTAGCCAAAGATCGTGGGTTCGACTCGTGCTCGTGACGGTGACTTTTTTTATCTCAACCACGATCTTTCATAAAGAATAATTAATTTTAAACTATTTTAAGGCCAACATCAGGGTTAAACAATTTTAGAGATGTCTAAAAGTTGACATAATTAAGTTTTTAATAACTAGTTTCAAATTTCTTTGAGCATGAAAAATATAAAAACAAGAATGAAATAGAAGTTCTTAAAAAAATTTGAAACCAGTTATTAAAATTTAATTGAACAAATTGTAGGTATCTTTAACATTATTTTGCCCTAGAGATGTTCTTGAAATAGGTTCAAATAGAGCTTGACAGAGAACAATTTATTTTGCTTTTTCATCCACATGACCATAGCGAAATCCAGATTATACGTGAGTATGAATACACATCGTTGGTCGCTACGTCTATCACTATAAACAGAAACTTAAAATATTCGAGTTCAGAAAATTAGAGCTGATTTCCAATTTCTAGAAAAATTTTATGATCAGTACGATGGATTATCTCTCCTTCACAGTTGCAAATTGATTTATGATTGACTTGGTGCAATTCAGACTTCATTCTGATTTTAAACCTATATGCCGATGTAGGAGGTTGATGAAAATTCGAGCCACCAAATACCACTTTACATGTGAAGAGAGATCAAATGGGAAGTTGGCTTATTTGGACGTATTATTAATGCTATTCGATGGAAATATCAAGACTCTCAAGTATTGGGGTGTCTTTGAAGTGAGGTTTAACAAACTGCCTCGGGCATAATGTTAAATTTTATGTAACGTGATGCAATATAATTTTAATTAATTGTAAGGCGAAAGCTGATAGATCGCATGAACAACCTGAATTTTATTAAAGAATTGAAAGGTCAAGTTATAAAAAAAAATCAGTAAAATCTCTAATATCACACTTTTCCCCTGATCATTTCGTACTCCCCGAGATGCGACAGCAAATAAACGATATCATTATTTGAAAGCGGATAACTTCTCTATTCATGCATGTTAAAATTAGTGGGTTTTTTAAGTCAGGTGAAGGTTGGGGTTAGTAATGTTACTAATTGCTAAACTGACTATTTTTCGTGGTCCGCTTGACCAAATAATATCTTTCAATTAATTAATCTGCATTTAAGGTATTGGTTGAGATAAAAAAGCCATTGTCACGGATTCGAAATTTAAAAGGTGAGGTTAAGATGGGAGGTTAGTGTACGAGTGGATCGAAGTAACAAAAACTCAAGTGGTAGAGCAGCGGCGTATTTAGCCGAAGGTCGTGGGTTCGAATCCCGCTTGTGACACTGACTTTTTTTATCTCAATCAATACCTTACGCTTAATTGAAAGTTACTAATTGCGTTGAACGTAAGTCCCAAAATGAAGTTTTAAAAGTAAATAAGTAAAGTTGATAATCAAAATTGAAATAAAATACAACCCTTATTTTTTTTAAAGGAAACAAGATCGATTGACCTTTTCTTCATGAAGGTAATTAAGCTTCTTTTTTTCTGAAAGTTCTTTCTTCCATTAAAATGCTAGCCAATATTGGCACTCAACAATAGTGCCCATCTAAGTCCTGTTTAATTCAATATGCTTTAAACTTTTTTTTACACATTTTTCGCTATTTTGTATGAAATAACACACAAAATATTATTATGTCACTTCCTCTCATTTAAAAAAATTCACAACAATAATGTAATAAAAAACATAATGGTAGTGTTTTTTCTATGCAATTGTTATTTTAAATTGCCATAAGCGACCAGAGAATTCTGTAAAAAATTACTTTTTAAAAATGTAATGTAAAAAAATGTAAAAATGCTGTAAAATTTACTTTTTAAACATAATATGTTTAATTTTTGTCCTTAGAATTTAATAAATCCTTTTTGGTATTTTAGTGTATTTACCTAGTTCATCGATTTACAGTACAATTGGGCTAATAACAAACCGATGTTTCTTAATGAATCAAACATTGGTAAAAACAACCGGGATGGCTGCGTGTCGCTTTGACAGAAGAAGAAACATCGGGGAAACAATTAAACGGGTCGCAATCGGCCTGGAAAAATGCCCCTCCCCCAGAATGATTTAATTTGAAACCAGAGGGATGCGGGCTACTAACTACTCTCGCCTTTCAGGTAATGCGTTTAACAGTTAATTAGTATAAATAATTAGTAGAAAGTGGAGAGTCATTTGACATATAGGGAGTACGCTTTAATAAATTAAATTAGTTAACAATTAAATTATACAATTTGTCTAATAATAAAAGGTTAATATGCCTAATCATTTTTAAATTTAAGAGGCATATATTTTGATGAATATAAATTTGTTTTCATTACGAATAGAAGCAATCTATTTATTTTAAAGTTAATTTATTTTACCATTAGATTAATCAACATTGATAACGTTTTGGTGATTGTATTTTCCATCTTTAATCGACTTCATGTGAGTGGATCATTAATGAAACGGTCTACTGTTATCCCTACGAGTTAATTAAAGTTGGAATGGGCGAGATGTTGATCTTTTAATAGGCTTTTGTTTCTTCTTTACCGAAATTCTTACTAAATTCTCTTCCAATAGGCTTTTTGCTGTCATTTGCCACCTTTGGAAGAAGAAAAGAACAATCTTTATTTTCGGACTTAAACGATGAAAAAGGCTGAGTTTTTATAATATCAAACCAGCGTAAAGATCA